TTCTTCTTCTTCTTCTTCTTCTTCTTCTGAGGCTTATCACCCCAAGGCAATGTAAGACTTCTAATAATAATAATAATAATAATAATAATAATAATAATAATAATAATAATACATGTTTAATGGCTGGAGAGGGGATTTCTTCTCTTGTGATCTGTGCATGTGTGCACTTTCTTTTAGACTTGCTTCAGGAGATTCTGATGCATACCGGAGTTGTGAAAATAGGCAAATTCCATGCTAGGGATCCTTGGAATTGAAAATGTAACTGTTCATATCATAATGCTGTTTTCCAAATCTGTGGTGCAGCCGCTTTTGGAATGCTGTGTTCTGGTTCCCTCACCTCAAAAAGGATAGAGTTGGAAAAGGGTCTGAAAAGGACAATCAAGGAGACGGAGCGACTCCCTTGCGAGGAACAGCTGCACCATTTGGGACTTTTTAGGTTAGAGAAAAGTAACAAGGAAGAGATAACCTGGTAGAAGTTTATAAAGGTATGTGCTGCATGGAGAAAGCAATAGAGAAAAGCTTTCCTCCCTCTCTCGTGGCACAGGGATTCATGCACATCCCACGAAGCTGAATTTTGGAAGATTGAGGACAGGTAAAAGGAAGTGCTTATTTGCACTGTGCATAGTTTAAACTGTGGAACTCACTCCCACTGGAGGCAGCGATGGCCAACAAAAGATTAGACAAATTCATGGAGGACCAGGCTATCAGTGGCTACTAGCCATGAAGTCAGAGGCAGCATGCTTCTGCATTCCAGCTGCTGGGAGTCATAGGTGGGCTGAAGACTGTTCTGCTCATGCTCTGCTTATGGGTTTCCCCCAGGCATCTGGTTAGCCACTGTGAGAACAGGATGTTGGACCATTGGCCTGATCAAGCTACCTTGTCTTGTGTTCTTAAGAGTCAATAGATGGAGATGGAGGGGCAAAATAAGGAAGCAGGAAGACTCTGTGTAAGCTGAGGAGGAAAAGGGAAAATTATATCAGCAATACTGTATATTTGATGTTTTATCACATTTTTAACATTCTGTTGGGAGCTGCCCGGAGTGGCTGGGGAAACCTAGCCAGCTGGGCAGGGTATAAATAATAAGTTATTATTATCATTTGGATAGGCGGGACATTGGATGGGGACATGTTCTTGTAGCCTGACATGTGAGTGCAATGATGGACTGGATGTAGGCTAAGAAGCCAAGATCTAATCCATAAAGGCTGTAGCACAGTGGTTCTCAACCTGTGGGTCCCCAGATGTTGTTGGACTACAACTCCCATCATCCCTGAGCTCTGGCCTTGCTAGCTCGGGGTGATGGGAGTTGTGTTCCAACAACATCTGGGGACCCACAGGTTGAGAAAGGCTGCTGTAACATCTACTCTGCATGCAGAAGGTACCAGTCTCCATCCATGACATCTCTAGGTTGGGATGGGAATGCCTCTTGTCTGAAACCCTGGAAAATTGCTGCCAGTCAGTGTAGACAGTTCTGAGCTAGATGAACCAATAGTCTAATGTGTTTCTATTGTCCATTCTTTCGGCTGGCTGTTGTGTGTTTGCTTGAGGATTGCCTAACAACCTTTTCAACTGCCTCACTCAGACACTGCCTCAGGGTTAAGGTGTTCCACCAACCATTTGGGGGCAGCATTCCCCAACCTGGTGCCCTCCAGATGTTGCTGGAATTCAGCTCACAGCATCCCTGACCATTGACCATGTTGATGGGAGCTGTAGTTCAACAACATATGTAGGGCACCAGGTTGGAAATGGCTGACTTGGATGTGCCCACCACATCTCTTTCCCCATCTTGTTTCCCTGGAACATACAGTGCAAGATATTTTGTCTTTAATCTGCATTCTAGTTCCAGGTCTGTTTGTTCATTTAAAATATTTCTAGACTGCCATTCAACCATTGGATTCCAGGATGGTTTTTAATAAACATTACTTAAAAAATGAAAATACAATAAGCAAGAGCTTTCCAAACTGTGTGTCGCGACACGTCAGTGTAGGTGTGGGTGTGCACTGGCGGAAGAAGGGGGTGCGGTAGATGCGGTCCGCCCTGGGTGTCATCCCTGAGGGGGGTGACATCGCCCCCTGCCCCCCCCGGGACGCTCACTGCTTGCCGGGGGGCACAGCATGTGTGGCGCTCCGGGGGCCAGAGAAGCTAGCTCCGCCTCTGGTTGCACGAACACTACCTATGCTCCTCCTGGGGCTGGAAAGGGGTTAGTTTAATCTCTGGTTTGCTAGTAAAAATGAATTACAGTGTTGCGAAATGATGCATGTCTAAAAAGTGTGTCACCAACATGAAAAGTTTAGAAAGCTCTTCAATAAAGCATAAGTTCATCAAACAATTACAGACTGGGAGTCATCAAAAGCTAAAGTCAGACTAAAGCAATATCATGCTTTATAATGCCTAAGCAAATCAAAGTGTTTTAAGTCGTTGTCATGTTGGCACCAGGAAGGAATTCTCTGGGGAGGGAATTCTAGAGCTGGGGCACTATTGCAGATAATGGAATGAATGAATGACCCTCTTCTTAGTGCCTACATAATGCATCTGAGCTAAGGACAGTACTTGGAGAAGGACCTCCACTGAAGATCTTATGGCATGGGCTGGCTGGTATGCAAGGTCCTCTTTTAGATATTTGGGTTCTAAGCTATTTAGGGCTCTAAAGTTAAGTACCAGCCTGTCGAATGCATTCATAACCTGAAGCGTTCGTAACCAGAGGTACCACTGTACATAGTTAGTCTAGCCTTCTGGCTGTCTCTCACCACCGCCACCTCCAATACTTGAGGTGTGAAATTGACTAGGCCAGAAGGTTGCTTATTTCCATGATCTGTTAACTAGGAAGGAATTCAGTTTTGAGAGGTCAGTTGCAGCCCTCTTCATTAGTGGATTTACGCACTCCTGTTGTGGCAGGAGCTGCTTGATTTCTTGTAATTCCTGAGTCATGTTTTTGCACGCTGGACTGCCAACACCCAAAAGGGCAGTATGTTAAAAGAAGAAATGAGGATTAGTTACCTTGGCAAATTAATTCTTGCCCTTGCATGACTATAGGCGGCTCAGTTCAACAATTCCTTATGGGTTCATGGACTCTGTTTTGCAGATGGAGCTTCTCCACCCCCATTCTGGTCAACAACACAAGGGCTTTTCCATTCATTTCCTACTTGTGTAAATGAATTTACCATCTTCTCCCAGTGGCAAGTATGGGTGACTCACACCCAAGCTCCATTTGTACGTCAGAGAGAAAGTAACAAGCTGCAGGATGAAGATCAAACCTTGGGGAGCTGAGAGAAAATCTGGTACAGTTCTCTGTCCGTTGGTTAAAAAAACCAAACACTATATTTTCTTGTCCAAAGGTTGTGAACAAGTACCATGCCTTTCTTCTCAAATGGTTTTCCGGGTTGGGATTTGTATGCCATTACCTAAGCTGCATTTCCTCCTGCCCATGTTCCAGTTGTTAGTCCGTTGAAACTAAAGCACATTTTCTGATGGACTGCCCCTCCTCCTCTCTTTATTGTTCTTGCTCACATCATCAGGACTTTGTCTTTTTCCTCCGGACATGTTGCAGTGTGTGTGTGGGGGTGTGTGCTGTTTTTACTGTCACACAAAAGTTCTTTTACTGGGATCCTTGGTGTTTTCCCCCTTCTCCTTTTGAGCTTTCAAGAGTTGTCATATGTGAGCTGGTTAAGGAAATAGAAATAAACACAAATTTACCTTCAGCCTGCCAGCAGTTATTCAGTTATGGGTGTAAACATAAATATTCTTTTACTGACAAAACAGGAAAGTTGCATTAGTGAATAATTACATTGTTATCCTGGGTTGGCACACATGTCTACTACAAGTACGTTGATTTCCAGAAATGTTCTTTTAAGGAGTTACAAGGGAGAAGTATTTCTCTCTCTCTCCTGTGGTTCATAAAAATGAATCACTTATTAAAGTTCTCTCTTGAAGCCAAACAATGGAACAAAACAATACTAGCTGCATGAATTGCCAGAGTACAAAGGATGCATGGGGTTTTTTTTGTGGGGGGGATTTAAGCACAGGAAGTTTTGTTATTGGAAACTCCTGCTAACTTGCTCTGGCCTTGTGCTGCGTAACCACTGTCTGGTCGTGGAAGCCGTGTCTTTTTTTGTCCCATCAAGCTGGCAAAGACAGGCACCTCCTGCTTTTTGTGTGCTTTGTTCAGTCCTGGACAGAGGCACACTTCATCTCCATTTGCACTGAGCTGGGATTCACAGTAAACAAACTTTGAGAAACTTGTGGTCCAGTCCCTTCTGTGTTTGCTAAGGGCAGGGCCCATTGCTAGAAAGCTGAATTTGTGAATTGCCTCCTGTTTTTTCCACTGACTCTTTGAAATTGGAGAGGCCTATGATGTAAACAGCCTTGAAGAGCTTTCAGGTGCAAATATTTCTTTCTCACGCTCTTTTCTAGGCATTCACAAGATTGTTTGCTTTTATTTCCCCTCTAACACAGCTAGGCATTGAGGACTTTTGAAATCGAAATCAAAATGCAAAACAAGAAAATCCTTAATAAAATATTAAACAAAAAAAAAAAAATGCTCATTTTAAAAATCTTTCCCCCCAGCATTTCTAAGGGAGACATAATTACAGAACTGATTTGGAAAATCATAGCTAAATTGGTCTAGTGTTAATGGAATATTTGTCTCCTGAGTGGATCACATTCAGTAAATTAATGTTGTTATTGTTTTTTAAAAAGAGAGGCCTGTCTTCTTTCCATAATAATAAATATGAGAAATATTTTAATACAATGTAGGACTGAATTGATAAAATTACTTTCTGGACTCTTGAGTCAAGTCATTTATATTGACATGAATGCCAGAGAGGAAATTATATTACTTTCTGCTTATGAAATTAACTTGGTGCAACATTGCATGCTGATGCCAGTGTAGCAGATTTTTGCCCATAAATATGGAATGTAATCATAATCTGGTGATTTTAATATAGTCTGTTTTATCATAGCTTTGTTGTTGTTCTTTTAAAAAACTATTTCCCCCATCTATTTAGGTCTAAGACACTGACAATGGAAGCCACCCAGATCAATATGTCACAAGCGCCACTAGTGAACGGCAACATCACTGCTAATCCGAAGAGGAGCAAACCTCGTGTGATGTCCAAAAGTGGCCACAGCAACGTGAGGATCGACAAGGTCGATGGCATTTACCTCCTTTATCTTCAGGATCTGTGGACCACCGTCATCGACATGAAGTGGAGATATAAACTTACCTTGTTTGCTGCTACCTTTGTAATGACTTGGTTTCTTTTTGGAGTCATCTACTATGTCATTGCCTTTCTTCATGGAGATTTGGAAGGGAACAAACACCCGCAGAACCAGGCCCCCTGCGTCATGCATGTGAGGTCACTCACCGGAGCATTTCTCTTTTCTTTGGAGTCGCAGACTACCATTGGCTATGGCTTCCGTTACATCACAGAAGAGTGCCCTCATGCCATCTTCCTTTTAGTTGCTCAGCTGGTTCTCACCACCTTGATCGAGATCTTCATCACGGGGACTTTCCTGGCCAAAATTGCCAGACCCAAAAAAAGGGCCGAGACCATTAAATTCAGTCACTGTGCTGTCATCTCCAAGCACAATGGGCACCTGTGCCTTGTAATCCGAGTGGCAAACATGAGAAAGAGCCTCTTGATCCAGTGCCAGCTGACAGGAAAGCTTCTCGAGTCCTACGAAACTAAAGAAGGTGAGAGGATTCTGCTTAACCAAGCGACTGTTAAATTCCACGTTGACTCCGCAGCAGAGAGTCCATTCCTGATTTTACCTCTGACTTTTTACCACATATTGGATGAGAGCAGCCCTTTAAGAGACCTTTCACCCCAAAACCTGAAAGAAAAAGAGTTTGAACTGGTTGTCCTCCTGAATGCCACCGTAGAGTCAACAAGTGCCGTCTGCCAGAGCCGAACATCATATATCCCAGAGGAGATCTTCTGGGGTTTTGAGTTTATGCCTGTGGTCTCTCTCTCTCCGAATGGGAAGTACGTTGCAGATTTTAGTCAATTTGAGAAGATCAGAAGATGTCCAGATTGTACCTTGTACAGCATGGACTCTGAAAAACAAAAACTAGAAGAGCAATATAGAAAAGAAGATGAAAGAGAAAGGGAGCGCAGGACAAGGTTTTTACAGCAAAGCAATGTTTGATTTCTCATCCAACACCAACCACAACAAATATTTATACAGCAAGAATTATCATCACCCCCCCCCTTGAAAATGGAAGGGCATCAAAAGCTCATCCAAACAGCTGTGGCTGCACAAACAAGACATTTTATTCTAGAATCCATGAAAACCAAGTACACTATCTAGATCTGTTGCCTATTTTTCGACCCTTAAGAGTGCTTATTGAGAAACGGTTTTTCTTATAAAGAAAAGGTCATAGCAGATTGAATCTGCATTCACGCCTGCCCCCCTCTGTTTTTCCACCTGAAATAGATGGTCCCACCAATCAAGACAGCTGTCACCACTCCCTTCTCCGTTCATCTGGGGCGTGTGCAGGGAGGAAAAAAGCATGGATAACCTAACCTAGGGGAGGGTTTTCAAATGTGCGTCAAGTAACCATCCTTGTGGACAGCAGGATCCCGACTCAATCTAGACTGCAAGCAGCATGTTGAGGACAAGCAAGAACAATTCCAGATTGAGGGGAAAACTACATTTTTGTGCTACAAATGGGTTAGTGTGTGTACACAGCCTAAGATGTGGGGCGCATTCACCACTTTTGCATCATTAATCAACAGTGGCGTAGCGTGGGTTGTCAGCACCCGGGGCAAGGCAAGTAATTTGCGCCCCCTAACCCGTGGATTTGCGCCCCTAACCTGTGGATTTGCGCCCCCTAACCCTAACCCCCAGATGTTATATGAGATGAATATCTTTAGGGAAGCATAGATAGTAGCCTTGTACCGAGTCAGACCATAAGTCCATTGAGTTCAGTCTACACCGATTGGCAGTGACTCTCCAGGCTCCAGAAAGGGGGTATCTCCCAGCCTTCGCTGGTGAAACTAAACTGTACGTGGTCTGTTATTTCAGAGGCAGCAGCTCCATTGTAAATACACAGCTATAGACTTCCCCACTCTAGGAACATAGGAAATGCGTTCTACTGAGTCAGAAGTTTGTCGTGATGAGTATTGTCTCCACTGACTTGCAGTGGCTGTCCAGGATTTGAGACTGGAGATACAAGATTGTGGACCTGCTGAGAGCGCTATGGCCTCTCCTTGTGTCTTAACACTCTGCCATATGGCAATTTTCCTAAGATTGATTTTCAGTTAACCTATGTGAAGTTCAGTATATTGAACAAATTTACTCACGATATTTATTTGACATAGATTAGCCATATAAGTAGGATGAAAGAGTAGGTTCTGAAAGGTTATATATTCTTTGGTATAGTGAGGCTGCAATCCTCTTACACTTCCCTGGAAGTAAGTGCAGTTGAACTCAGGGGGGTTTACTTCTGAGTAGACATGCATAGAGTTGCACTGTCAGTGTTTTTTTACCCAGATTTTCATGCTTCTTAAGAAAAGGGAAATGACATTCTGGTTGTGTCGTTGGAAATGAGTTTCACGGAACGGAAACAATTTGAATGACAGTAGACGGCAGCCTCTAAAATGACTGCCCAGTGCAATGTGGACTTGGAGTGTGGGGTTGTACAAAAACAGACCACCACCCCTCCAAAAGCATCCACATCTGTTACAGACAGAAGGCCTCTCCCCTTGGCCACCAGTGTAAATGTCTGTGCTATAGGGGAGGATTAGAGAACCACATTAGAAGAACAGAAGTGCAAGAACAGAGGGAGATCTAATGTGGCCCCCATAGGCTCTATAGCTCCCTAAAACACCCTAACTCTTAGCACTCACCAAGGATGCCTCCACCTCCCTTAAAAAAAACAACAACCAACCTGAGGTACAGGAGCTTTTTCTGGTTGTATGTTGAGAAGTTTGCCTGTTTTTCTGTGTGTTCTATTTCCTGGGGTATGTAGGTATTTTTTTTTTTTCATTTTCTTTTGATGGTGGTCCTGAGGAGCACCAATTTTTCTTCTATGAAATGGGTATGTTGTGGTGCTCACAGCAGCATCTCAGATTTCTAAATGTGCCCCACAGAAAAAGTTGGAGGCACACTGCTCTGGATTCTCTCTTTCTGGCACAGCAGAGCAAGAAACTCAAGGGGAACCACACAAATATTGCAACAATGCCTTGGGAAACAATCATTTCCCTCTTTCCCACTTCACAGGCTCCTTCTGCCAGCCTTTGCCAAAAAACAAAACAAAAACAAAACAGAAAGAAAATGAATGGCTTCAAGGGACAGTATAGTTTCTTCCCCATCTGCCATCGTATACACAGCAGTGCAGGTGATCAGGCTGTCCTAGTCCGGCCAAAAATTCTATTTTGAATCCCTCCTCCACCCCTTTTTAAAAGAAAGCCATCGTGGATATATAGGGATGGAGTTGTAAAAGGAAAAAGAGGAATGTATTATTGGGAAAATGCTACCGATAACGTTTTATGATATGACATGTATAAGCATTAGAGTCATGTATTTAAAAGATTGCTTGTTTTGCTTTGGACCACTGTTTAATATTCTTAAATAAAGATTTCTGAAACATTTGCTGTCAAATATTCATTTTTAACTGATAGCCTGTTGTTACTGTTCACCTATCAGATAAAATTATTTTGATAGATTGCATCCCGGAGGTTGGCAATCCAACACCCAAGAGTGCCATGGCATTCATGAAAGTCTCCATTTGACACACCCAGACTCTGAGCTTTTATGTTAAAGAAGTAAGCCTCTATCCTTCGTAGAAAGAAATTTATGAAGCAAAATGTGCAGGTCCCCTCTAAGAGATTTCTCTGAAATGAATTAGCCTGGTTGCTCCCACCTAGCAGTGTTTTAAGCCAATGAGTGCAGTCAGGGCTCTGATTGATAAGTGAGTTGTTTGGCAATAGTAACAGGAATTCCTAGAGTCCTTATTTTTCCTTCCCCTTTAGGGGAAGGACTTATTCCCTTCAGCAAGGATACATCTTTCCTGTGGTGGGTTCCCTAGAAGTACGTAATTTTCTTCAAATATTACCACACAAGAAGTGTGGGTGGATGTTAAAGATCCCCTCCTGCACAAAAATGACAAATGCAAGATGTGAAATCTTCACATCTTTGTGAGCAGAGGCTTGGGCTTCTTTCCTAAGGAGCTAAAGACCAATCACTACTTAAGAATTCCCTGTTAACTTACATGTCTACTCAGAAATAAGTCTCTTTGGGAAGACTTCAGTATTGTGCTAATATTATCATTCCATCAGTGCAAGCATTTCTGCTTGTCAGATGAAACCATCACCCCTCTCCTCCATGTTGTTCTGGCGGTTCTCCAGGGTGAATTTGGGGCAGACATGAGAACACATGGAGGGAAGAGATAGGGGAAAGGAGTCCTTGTGCTGTCTTCCACTAGCACACTGGGTTAGTTGAATCCGGGCCTTTGTGTTTAGTGGAACTTACTCCCAGGTAAGTGGATATAGGATGGCTGAGTAGGCTTTGGTTTTGAGTTAGCATTGGAGGACACAGGGTTCTTGTGCCATTAGCAGCTGTACAGAAGAATTCAAGGGTTTTCTAGCATGCAAATCCAATTATGAGAAAAACTTCACCATGACAGTACTCACATTTTGTATTATGCCATGCCCTCTCCCCCATGGCAGCCATGTTGCGTAATGCTATGCTCCCTTGCGGCCATTTTGTGACTGGTGCCCACAACACTCTCTCCAAACACAGAAATGTTTCCACTAGTCTAAAGAGGTTGGAAAACCTCTGGGGTTTTGGGGTGTGTTGTTTTTTTTTAAGCAAGCCCAGCCCCAGGTATTCTTGTAAAGCAGGCTTTAAGGTCTGAAGAAATAGCTCAATTCTGTCCAGGAGGCCACACTAGGTTATCTTTTGGTACATTAGTTATTTCTTGTAACACATCCACCTCACATACCATAACCCAGGGCTGGTGTCAGACATGGGTTACATCATCAAACACCTGTGGGGATTCATAGCTAATCAATAGAATCATAGAGTTGGAAGGGACCCTGAGGGTCATCTGTGATGGGGCCCACAGTCCTGCATGAAGTCCAATATCAACACTAGGCATCTTCTTGACTTGACGAATGTAAGCAGTGACAGGAGGGGACCAGTTTCCCTCACTTGCCTTCCACATTGAGTCCAGAGGGGAATTGGAGGAACCATTGTAGATTTCTTTATTAGAGCTATTCCTCATAGTTATTGAGAGTCTCTACTGCTCAGTAGGTGGTGTCAGAGCACCTGTGGTTTAGAGAGATTTATTTCACAGCAACATCACACATTTTAAGCACTCTTATACCACTTTAACAGGCTAGATAGCCACTTATGCAAGTAACGTTTGAGTGCAAATCTTTGGCACTCCAGATGTTTTTGGACTCCAATTCCCATTAGCCCCAGACAGCATGACCAATGGGAACTTTGGTCCAACAACACCAGGAGAGCCAAAGATTGCCCACCATTAGTATATATGAACGGTATATGCTATTTGCCTCAAAGAGGAGCTGTGTTGAAATGTTTGAGGCAAATAAAATCATTTTGATTGTGATGAAAATAACATTACTTTGAAATGAAGATAACTGCCATTTAGCCTTGGTTGCTTGATTTATTGCATCTTTGTCGTACAAGGTTATTAAAACAAATGTGTGTGTGTGTGTGTGTGTGAGAGAGAGAGAGAGAGAGAAAGACAAAGTATTAGATTGCATTGTGCAATCTACAAAGAACATATGTTTTTGCTGGCTACTCTATTATAAAAGTCCATTCTATTTTTATAGATTATTAAAAAAATCCCAGTGAACGTATCTTTAAAATGCCTTTTAAAGCTGCATTGTTTTTCCACTTGCTTTTTCTGCTAATAATATATTTGAGAAATCATGGGGAAAGAATTCAGTACGCTCTATTTTATGGTGTGTTCTCTTAAATTAAAACCATACCATAAGATCAACAAGTATATCTTCTTTTCCTGGAAAAGCAAAACCCCTGTGCCTCAAAATCATCACTCCACACAAGTACTCTTATTCTTAAATCTTTTTGCTATAATACAAAAGAGATAAATGTATACACCCATTTAAATTTTGAGGAAATACGATCACTCCCCTACTAACTGCAGCTAGTTAACAACAGAAAGGTCCTCCTTCGCCATACTTTTAGGAATTGATATGAAAGAGTCTGGGAACTATTGCCAATGGAAAAATTGAAACATCAATTGAGACTTTCAAAAGGGCAAGGCAGAAAGTAAACTTGGAGGAGACACATTTTGACAAGCAATAAAATATTGGAGAAAGAGTTTATTTTATCCTATTTCCTTTCAGCATTTAAGAAACGGAAACTTTATGCAGTAGTGGTGGTAGCTATGCCACAAATGTGGCAAGTGTTCTTAATGTTACGAGAGGTGCAATGTGCAGAGTGCTCCTGCTCAGTATTCCCTTCAGCCAGCCATGACCTTTCCAGGATAAGCCACTCTATTCTCCCTCCCTCCCTGATTTCTATCCCTAACAGCCTCTCAGCATTCCACAGTCACTGAGCATGCTCAGTCCTCATTGAGCTGTTTGGGACTTTCTCTGTTTACTTCAAATCAAACCCCCTCACTCCCCCCCTCAAATACTTTTTGTACAGCTGCAAACCTTGGGGTTCCTCCATCCCTAACACCCTGCTGCTTCTCCGGTGTGTGAGGAAAGATACTGCCACTTTGACTAAATAATAATAATAATAATAATAATAATAATAATAATAATAATTATTATTATTTATACCCCGTCCATGGTGGCTCCCATCATCATCATCATCATCATCAAGCGAAACAACATCAAATATTAAAAACTTCCTTGAAAAGGGCTGCCTTCAGATGTCTTCTAAAAGTCAGATACTGTAGCTGTTTATTTCCTTGACTTCTGAAGGGAGGGCATTCTACAGGGCAGACGCCACTACCGAGAAGGCCCTCTGCCCGGTTCCCTCTATATAAGGATTCACACTTTAAGAATGAGTTTGCTCATAGTATATAGGATTGGATTTATCTTTAGGTTCTATTTTCCCATTGTGGTTTTTTTGTGGGGAGGGGCATTTGATATGTCACCTTGTTATCACTTTGTGACTGAGAATATGGTGGGGGGTTTTTTAAATATAAAAATAGAAATATCAAAAGCACAAGACAAAAAACCCCGAAACACATGGATCCAAAGCAAAGGTTTTTTGTTTTCCACCTTGCTGTTCCTATTTCACATGAGTTCATTTAACCTCAAGTAGTACAGACTGGATACATTATAAGCCCACCTACGCCCAAGTTTTCTGGAGGGAGAAAGGATTATTGAAATTTCCCAGATTTTCAAGCACACCGCAGTGTATTCTGTATAGCAAGCAGGACTCAAACTTTTAAAGCGCATGAAGAAGGAAGGGTGGAGAAATACCTTCCTTCTCTAGGAAGTTATTAAGCATGTCGGAGCCCGGGAGCCAATTGGCCCCATTTCCCTCGCTTTCTTCTTTCACCACATCACTCTGACTGCCCAAGATTATAAATGAATGCGGTTCTCGCTGGCAGAGCTCCTTAAGAGCTTGAAATCGTCACCGATTCTCTCCTCCAAAAGGAGGTCTGACATACAGGCCGCCTGGAAAGTACGGACAGAGCCATAAAAGGCTTGCAAGCATTTGGCCACTCAGCCGACGAATAGAATAGAATAGAATAATCAGTGCTCTGGCAATCTGATTTCTTTGAAATTGAAACTGTTACAGAAGTTATGATTTATCTATCCCTCCCTCACTCCCCCAGCTAAGTTGAACAGGTAAAGCTAGCGATGTTTTTGAACAATTTGAGAAAGGTAGGGAAAGGGGAAAGAGGATGCCTGTGCCCTCATTATATCTGTTGTAAAAAAAAGCAAGTGATGCATCATTTCAGCTAGCTTCTTAAGGCACTGATTTTGGGGTGGGTTGAAACTACCCTCAAGTGGCCTACCGGGTCAGTGTGTCTAGCTGTTAACCAGAAGGTTGGTGGTTTGAGCCCACCCACGGATGGCTGTGGGCAAGATTACTGCATTGCAAGGGGTTGGACTAGATGACCCTCAGGGTCCCTTCCAACTCTACAATTCTATGATTCTATGAACTGTCTGTTCATTCCTATTCTACCTTTCCTTAAGTAGCCTGAGGTGATGTAAATGCCCAGCTCCCATTTATCCTCACAAAATCCCTGCAAGGTAGCTTAGGCTGAAAGATAGTGACCAGTCAATAGTTTGTAGCTACACCGGGATTTGAACCTGGGTTTCTGCAGACCTAGTCCAATATTCTAACTACTACACCTCACTATAGTGACTTTTAAAAGGACTGGGGGATGGAATAAAATGGGGAGAGAGTACAAATGGAATGACTCTGTAGTTCAAACTAAGGGTTAAATTCTTCCTGATATACTTGCATAATTTTCAGTTTGCTTCTCTCACAGTTTAGGTGACTGTATGACTTTCCATCTGTGTGGCATATATTTGCACTTCTGCATTAAAGGCACTAAAGATCAAACAGTCCATAACACAGTGATGCAGAACCTCCAGCCAATGGGCCCATTTAGTGCTTCCAGGCCTCAC